TCTTACTGAACTTGGTGTGTCTCTCTTTTCGCAACCAGTGATCTATTGTGATAATGTCGATGCTACGAATTTATGCTCAAATCCGGTTTTTCATTTCTGCATGAAGCATGTTGCTTTATATTATGCTCTTCGGGTGGCTCATGTCTCCTCTACTGATCAGTTAGCTGATGCTCTCACCAAACCGCTTCCGCGTACTCAATTTTTATTTTTAAAGACCAAGATTGAACTCTCCTCTTGGAGCTCCATCTTGCGGGGGCATGATAAAGCAAATCAATAATCTCGGATTCTTAGGATTTCTTAGTTTGATTGTTATTTAGTTTTCTTATTGTAAAATTTGACTTAAAATAGGTAGTATCCTAATTGTTATTTAGTTTTCTTATTGTAAATTTAACATACTAAGAATACGTAGTATTCTGATTGTTATTTAGTTTTTTTAATATAAATTTGACTTACTTAGAATAGGTATTATTCTGATTGTTATTTAGTTTCTTTAGTATAAATTTGAGTTACGTATAAATTTCAGTTATAGGCTACGTGTATATGATTTTACTGAATGAAAAAAGTTACATGCCATAATTTTTTCGTTCTTTAAACCTTTTAGAAAGGTCTCAACACGGTAGAGTAGAATTCAAGCCGGAGATGACACTCTCATGGAACAACGACGTCCCACCATCTATCATCTCTTCACTGTCCACGTACACGACCACGTGTGGTGAAATTAGCCGGAGATCAGTCAAATTCCAGCACCGAACAGTCGGAGGATCGTCGGAGATAAAACAACGGTGGTCTTCTCTCTACCCATGAACAGATTGCTTTGAATGATAAGAACTCAAAGGTCCGAATTGACACGAATTCGATATCGAACCCAATTCTGAGCTCACGAGCGAACTGACCCATACTATCTCTGACCAATCTCGATTCGATTGCGTACTCTTCTGGAATAACAGCAGTGATTCCAGTGACCGCCATGTCAAAATAGACGACGTGGATGAGCATCGAACGGTACACGGCGTTGAGAATCGCTTGATTGGCGGTGAAATTGGAGAACATGATGATCGGAGAGACGTTGGAGAAGGTCTTGTGGGCTTTGATGGTCTGAACGAATTCCAAAGAAGATGACGGACAAGTCAAGTGAGTTGACCCGGTGAGTAGAGATTGCAGAGCTTAAAAGAGGAAGGTTTAGGGTTCGAAGATTGGTGGGTTTTTTGGGTGTCATAAAGGGAACTTTCATTGCGGGTTTTTTGGGTGTCATAAAGGGAACTTTCACTGCTTGATAGAAGGAGAGTGAAAAGCTGCTACACAAACCCCTCTCTCTATATATATATATAGTATATATATGTTCTTCACTTCTGGTTCGTTGGGTTTTTGAAGTGAGTTAATGGTGAGAGGGGGCTTTTGGTTGGTATAACTGGTGGGTTTTAGACTTGTGTGTGTGGGGTGGGGGTAGGACATTTCAGGGACAATAATTAGCATGTAACATACTTGTCTCTTCTTGTTTTCATTTCATCTTTTGTGAAATTCTCCGTATATGTTCTTCACTTCTGGTTCGTTGGGTTTTTGAAGTGAGTAAATGGTGAGAGGGGGCTTTTGGTTGGTATAACTGGTGGGTTTTAGACTTGGGGGAGAGAATAATTAGCATGTAACATTCTTGTCTCTTCTTGTTTTCATTTCATCTTTTGTGAAATTCTCCGTATGGCAAGTAGATTTAACACTCACGGATGAGATATAACTCCAATTATTTGAATTTTTTTTTTTTTTTTTTTTTTTGAACTTGATCTCGAAGTTTAAACTTGAACTAATAATAAATTAAAGAGAAAAGTGTTAAAAAAACTCCTGAACTAAGGTTTTGCAACTAACCCCCTTTAACTACAAAGAAAACTCCTGAACTTTCATTTTTTTTGCAATTTGCCCACTCATACTACCGGAATAGAAAAAGATAGTTTTACCTTTATTCAATACTAGGTCGTTACTATCTCCTCTCTCTATTTCTGTGTGTGTATATATTATAAATATATGTATATATATATATACACACTCTATATCTCTGTGGAAGAAGTAAAAAACCACAAAGAGACACAGAGAGGAGAGGGAGCACATCGATCTCGCCGGCCATTTATGGCGCCACCTCGTTCATGTCGACCCGCGACACCGACGGCAAGCAGCCGTCGTCCTCGTCGGCGTTCCAGATCACCAACATGAACAGAAGAAAAGGCGACAGAGATGGACCATCGCAGCCGAATAAGTTGTAGAGATGGAAATCATATTTTCAGTCTTTCTGGATTACCAAATTAAATTAGTTACTACCATAATTACCTGTATATATATATGGTTTGGATTAACATTTTTATTTTTTATTTTTCCTTGCAATAGAACTGGAGTTACCATTTTTTTTCTCCCTTTTTTTTTCTGGCAACAAAAGGGCATTACAAGCTTGTTCATATATATATATATATAGAGAGAGAGAGAGAGTTCTGCTAAAGAGAGAAATTGGGAGGTCTGAGAACCCAAAATTGACGTGACGGCGGCGAAAAATCCGTTTAAATGATGGCTTCCAACACTCTGCCAACCTCCAGTCATCATCTTCTTCTTCAATCATGCTTCTTCGTCATATGGGTCTGAGCCAATCAATATGAGGAAGAGACAAAGAATCCTTCTTCTTCGTCATCCTGGTCTCGCTCTCGGTTTTGATTGTTTTCATAATTACGAGAGGAACGGTGGCAGCGGAGGACAGAATGCATAGTGGTGGCTGTGGATTTGTGTATTTTCGTTGGGTTTGGGTTTGGGTATGGTGGAGTTTCAATTGGGTTTGGGTGTGTGGTTGAGTTTACCTTTGTTATATCTTCAGTTGATATATATATATATATATATATAGAGAGAGGGAGGGAGAGAGAGGGGTTTAGGTAGAAGTAGATGAAGAACAGTAAGAGGAAGAAGATGAACAGTAACCATAAGGCGTGTTTGGGTGTCAATATAATTTGTATTTTTTTAAGAGGGGCAAATTAGACTTTTCAAATTTATAAGGACAATATGGTCCATATTTTTATATATCATGCCGCGTTAGAAACATGCGCTCCGATGAAGAGCAAATTTTGGGCCGGCCGTTCGCCGGATTGGGTCAACTGCAGCAAAATTGTATAGTTTGGGGGATTATTTACATTTTTTATAGTTTAGGGAGTTTATTACAGATATGGCAATAGTTTAGGAAGATTTTTTGTACTTTTCTCTAAATTAAATGAATAGAATTTGAAAAATCTCAAACTTGATCGGCCCTAATCACACCATATAGAATTTAAGATTTTTTCTTTTTTTTTTCCTCAAAATATAAAGCAACTGTCATGTATAAAAAGTAAGTACAACGATGGTAAGTACAGAATTCAAGAAATGTTATTATACAAAAACACCTTACTTTTTTTATGTTTGTTATGTAAAATGTTTAACCTCAATCTTTAACGAGATTAGAGTTCGTATACAACAAGAGAGAAGGGTGCAGTGGACAAGGTAGAAATTATTGCATTATCTCGATCAACATGCAGGTAAATATATTAGTGTCATTTAGTTTTTTATTTGTGTGTCAAATTATGAATGGTCGGGATCATATAATAATTTTTCATGGACAAACTACACTCCTATTTCTAGTTAATATCAGCCATTTTCCACTGCACCTTGTATTTCGTGGCGCAGAGCTAACGTCAATCCAGCCGAAAGTAAAACTTTGTTCTTAGATTAGGAAGCAGAGGGCTAATGTCAATCCAGCAAAAAGTAAAACTTTGCTCTTGGATTGGGAAGAGGATCTCCTATCGGAGACGATTTTGTGGTGCATTCGGTGCATCAAACGGCATCTTAATTTCTAGCATTTTTCAAAAATACAAATAGAAAATTCTAATGGCATTAATAAGATCAAGCTTAAAGGTTAGTCCATTAGAATAATGTTACAGGTCGGATGTTTCGCAATCTTACCTAAAAAAACTAACCTTATATACCCAATTCTCTCTTCATCCAAATTCGATGTGGGACAAAAATTCATGACAATAAGCTATACTTCAACAAGATGAAAGTCTAACCCAATTTGACCACATGCAGGTTTGTGATCCACAACACAAATAACCCAATTGACAAGAGGTAATCAAATGTAGCCCATAATATCTAGGCCGATAGTACATAACACGGATGGGAGAGTATAAGAAGTAAGAAGAAGAAAATATATATATATATATATATATACACAAAAAAAAAAATTTAATTAACTTGAGAGATAGGGGCCAAATTGCACAAAACTTCTCGGAGCTATTCAAAATTTTCAGAAAATACTCTTATGCCATATTTGATTGGAGGGAAGCATTGAGGAGGGTTGGATAAGTGGAGGGACGGATAAAAATTTTAGTGTTTGGTTGGAGGGAAGGGAAGAGGGAGGAGACAAGAAGGGATGAAGTATTTCTTCATATTTTTCTATCCGTTTAATTTTGGGGGAAGAGAAGAGAAAGAAAACGAATAACTACACACAAATATACAATTCTAATTTTAACTTTACGCAAATAAAATAAAATAAAATCTACATTTGATTATTTTATATAGTGAGGGTATATTAGTAAGAAGAATATAAAAATCTCTCTTTCCATTCTTTTCAACCAAATATATATATATATATATATATCACCCCATCATTTCTACTATCCATTTCACTTAACTAAACAAAAACTAAGAGAGACACGTTCACTTCCTTAAGGATTTCTCATCTGTTCCTCTCATTAATTCTTCCATCTATTTTTTCATTCGTCCAACAAGCATAACCTAATATTTGTGCCAAATAACCCATTCAATTTTTCAAAAGTTGTCAAAATGCACCATTCCATCTCGTGACACTTGATCGTGTAGACATAAAAAATGACTGAAATACCTTTATGCATATATTTCACTCTAAAAGACTAAATCAGTCTTTTAATTGATTTATTTTATTTTATTTAAACAAAAAAATCACATGTTTACATTTTTCTTATGAAGACTTAAAATATTTACTTTCTATCTGAAAGACGAACATGTAATACAACTATTAATTTATGTCAAAAAAAAAAATTTGAAATAAAAACACTAAGAAAAAGTTCTTTAAACTTTATTGGATCCAAAGTCCCTAATATAGGAGTAACACTAAATACTACTACTTATATACTATGTCTATATATATATATATATATATATTGGATAGTTGCTACCACCTCCATGCTGACGTGGCAACCAGGGCTCTATCGTGCCAGCATAGCACCAACTCAGCCTCTCGCTTTGCCACGTGGAACCCGTTGACTTGTACCCTCCTCAGCAAACCCTCAGCTTGAAACTCCGCACACCGACCCAACACCACCGGCCTCATTCCCGCGCCGGTGAACACCTCCCTCCACGGCATCGCATTCCTTCCGGCCGCCGCCGCCTCCACCGCCGCGAAAATCTTTGGACGCACCAGAAACGTATCAATCCTTCGAACCCAATCGTCGCCACCGCCGCCACCGAGCGAGTCCAACACCGTAGAGTAGAATTCAAGCCCGTTGATGACACTGTCACGAAACGACGAGCCGTCCATCGACCCTTCACTGTCCACGTACACCACCACGTGCGGTGCAATTCGACGGAGATCGGTCAAAATTCCGGCGCCGACAATTCGGAGGATTGTAGGAGATAAAACGACCGCGGTTTTCTCACCACCCATGAACCTGATTGCTTTGAACGATAGAAATTCAAAGGTCCGAATCGACACGAACTCGATATCGAACCCAATTCTGAGCTCACGAGCGAACTGACCCAGATTGTCTCTGACCAATCTCGATTCAATCGCGTACTCTTCTGGAACGACAGCAGTGATTCGAAGAATCGGTGGACTGGTTTGATCGGCAAGCACTTTCATGAACGAAGCCCAGTGACCGCCGAGTCCGATGTCGAAATCGACGACGTGGACGAGCATCGAACCGTTCACGGCCTCGAGAATCGCTTGATTGGCGGTGAAATTGGAGAACATGGTGATCGGAGAGACGTTGGAGAAGGTCTTGTGGGCTTTGATGGTCTGAACGACTTCGGAAGAAGAGGAAGGGCGAGTCGGGTGAGTCGACCCGGTGAGCAGAGATTGCAGAGCTTCTGCGAAGTAAAACGCAGCTCGCCGGAGTGGTTTTCCGGTGGCCGAACCACCCAGCTGTTGATTGAGCCGCGCCAATATCAAGTGCGCGAGTTGTGGGTCGTTCGATTCGATGCAAACTGAGGCTCGAACAATATCACCCACGAAATCCGACCCACAATTCCACTGATCCATGTGATGGTAATCATCATCATTGAACTGGGTCAGATCGAACGAGTCTGAAGATTGAAATTCGGAGAAAACAGGGATTTGAGAGTCGGAGTGAGTGAATTGAGGGATAGATCCCACATCGTTCAACAGAGAATTCCAATCGTCAGTGTTGTTGAGGAAGTGTTCGACCCACTGAAGAGAAGAGTCGTCTGAGTATGACAGTACGACGTCGGAAGAGGCCGGAACTTTGGCCGGCTTATCGGAGACAGGGCTGGAGCTCCGGCGGAGATCAAGAACCGACTTGGGTTCGTGAGGATGAGTACTCCGAAGAGTAGTACTGTTAAAAGATGGAGGCTTTGGGTTCGAAGACTGATGGGTTTTGGGTGCGGTAAAGGGAACTTTCATTGCTTGATAGAAGGAGAGTGAAAAGCTGCTACACAAACGCCTCTCTCTCTCTCTCTCTCTATATATATATATATATGTATATGTATGTACAGGTCTCTGTTATTCACTTCTGGTTTCTTGGGTTTTTGAAGTGAGTAATGGTGAGAGGGGGCTTTTGGTTGGTATAGCTGGTGTGTTTTTGTATGTGTGGTGTGTGTGTGTGTGAAGTGTGTGGGGTTTGTACAATAATTGAAGGAGAGGAGTCAGAAGATTGATTTTTCCCATTTGGAAGATTGTTGTTGAAGGCTCAAAAGCCAAGCTTTTTGTATTACTTTTTGTTTGATTCGCTGCATGAAACATACTTGTCTCATATTTTAATTTTATAATGAATTAAATTATTAATGACTTGTTATTTTCATTTCATCTTTTGTGAAATTCCTAGATGGCAACACTGATGGATGTGATACTATTGAACTACAACTCCAATAAGACATACTAATATATTTTATTTGAACTCAAACTTTAAGCTCAACTAATAATAAATTAAATGAATTGAATTGAATAAGAAAAATCTAAAAGTTGATCCATCCTAATCACAGGAATTTCAGAAATGTTATTATACGAAAAATATCTTATATTTTTTTTGTTTATTATGTTGAATGTTTCGCCTTAATCTTTAATAAGAATAGAGTTCAAATTCTAATTGAAGAAGAGAAAGGGGTGCAGTGAACAGCGAAGAAATTATTGTATGGTTTCGGTCAATTACAACTCGACATGCAAGACATGCAAGTAAATATATCAATTTTATCTAATTATTTATTTACGTTTCGGTTGTGATTAATCGGTATCGTATAACAATTTGGCCAACTACACCCCTATCTCTTGTTAATATCAGCCCTTTCCACTACACCTTGTATTTTGTGGTGCAGAAGGCTAATGTCAATCCAACAGAAAGTGAAACTTTGCTCTTAGATTGGGAAGAAGATCCTTCCCGTTGGAGGGGATTTTGTGGTGCATTCGGTGCATCAAATGGTGTCGTTTTATTTGAGATTTTGTTTCCGTGCTTGCACATTGAATTTTGCACCAACTCATTAAAACAGTAACATTTAGTACACCGAACACACCACATAATCCCCTCAGGGAGGGGATCCAAGTCCATTGGAATGATATCAACTCTCCCAAATGCATGTTCTAGGGCTCCTAACCGTAAAAGTCACCAAAGAAAAGGTTAACTCCTATAAAAGAATGCTCTAATAGCTTTTAAGCTTTTTAACCGAAAATACCAAACAAGTCAAAATGTGGGCGATAAAGTTTAATATTAATGATATCACTCTCTCATGAAAGGGCCCAACCAAAGACCTAAATGGATGCAAAGACAAACAAACACTACTTTAATTTACAAGTAAAATTTACGCAGACTAATTAGAGCCCAAAAGTTAAATATGATGGTCATATATAAAGACATTACTTTAGTGAAATTTACGCAGACTTAAGAGCCTTAAAAGGTCACAATGATGGTCACAAAAAAGAACGGGTCATGATAAAGTGCTTAAGTAGATGGTCTAAGTGACACTTTGTTTTGGAAGTTTGTGATAAAAAAAGCTTAAGATTTTACTAGACTTTGCCAATGGGATTAGATTGGATTACATTTAAAATATAATTTCATATAAACATGAAAAGAATTGTAGAGAAAGTGGATGTCCTCTCACGTTACGTGCTCGTTTTCGTTTCTACTCTACTTTATGACGTAAATTTTGTACCTTTTATGTTACTGTTGACGACTTAAGATGTGATTACGAGTATTCCATTGAGGTCGCCTATGAATGTTGCGTCTGGTAGCATCAAGTCTACCTTATATTTGAAATTGGGACAAATTTAGTTTAAAATTTTAATCAAACTTTTTTCAATTCCAAATTTAAATTATCGATTCTATACTCCCAAACATAGTGCAAGAATAATGTATATTTTCAACATGTAAGATACACTCCATTCATGCACGCACATTGAGTAGAGGTGTTCTTACCGTGCATGTATTACCTGTATAACATATTTGTACCCTTGTATAACACCATATTAATATTAATTTGGTGATATGTTAAAAAGTTCATCACTTAGAAAAAAGGATAAAAATTTAATCACATAAGCATCAAAAAAAATGTTTTAAATTTACAATAAATTATATTTCTTCTACGTTAGAAAGAAAAAATAGTAGTAAGAATTTAAAATATAAAAAAATATATATTATATATATATTTTTTTAAGGAATGCAAGCCAAGAAATCTACATATTGTGTGGAAAAGACTTTGGCGGCTATCGAAGAGGAGGAAGGAATATATTCCAAAATGCATGATTGATCCACCAATTCATCCGTTCATTTACGTACCATAAAGAAACTCAATATCTACACCTTTTTTACTATTTTTCTTACGAGCTTTAATAGAAAGCAAAACCACCTCTGAAAAGTTTGGTATTTTTTTAAAGGCAAAATTATGTATATTATTATATATTGACCAAGGACAGTTGGTTAGAATCACTCTTCTCTAAAAGAAAGGTTTGCAATTCGTGTTCACATCTTAGAGTGTGTTCGTGTGTTGCTTATCTGAAAATTTTTAAATGTACTAGTATATTATATTATGGACCATGCTACTTGGACCTAAAACTCTCTAGAGGCCTAATTTAAGCCAATCTCATTATTAGAGTTTTAAGTTTAAGAATTATTTTTAAAATATATATATATATAATTTTTAGTACAATCAATTAAAGTGATTTTTTCAAATTTAGTTGTCCGAGTGGTTGGGCTGCTTCCCGTATTCAAAAACCCATATTCGAGCCTTACGCCCTCTCGTTCCCCTCTAACAATTAACTCCTAATATTCTTGCTATGAAAAAAAAAAAAAAAAAAAAAATAAATAAATAAATAAATAAATAAAATTCATAAAAGGTTCTATATGAAAATATTTATGTTAAATCACTAGTTACGTACTTACGTCCATCAATGCAAATCAAGTTCCAACAGTGATGGACTCAGAGAATTGTATGAGAAGGAACGACCTTGAACAACAATAATATATGGTGGGTTATCATTAAAATTTGAGTGGAGGCATATTTAAAGTTTTCATAAAAAAGTAAAGATATTTTTAAGATTTTTACAAAATCTATGGGTAAATTTGTAAATAATATTTTGTAACCTTTTCCCATTTGCAATTTCATCTTGCACGTGGCAGGAATCAACTCTCCAAGAATACCGTGTTAAATAATTAATTACTCTAAAAGTTTAAGTTACGACAAAATGAGACGTAAAAATGTACGTATATCAAAATGCGTGCATCAATATCAATCTTTTGGAATATTACAAAAATGAAACATACTTTAAAAAAAAAAAAAAAAAAATGGACCAGTAGTGTGAGTGGTACTATGTGAGAAGTCACTTTACATGTCAAATACTTAGGAGTTAAGGTTCTAAGTACACGGGACACACACGGTGGGGAGAGGAAAGCTTGTAGGTGACAAAAGATGGAGGAAGGTTGAGATTCTGATTGAAATGAGTCACAAAAAGAGTGTGTATTCAGCCCAACTCTAAGGAAAAGTAAAGGCAAAGAAGGTTAGGAGAAGAAAGTGGACTTAATTTTGGCCATGCATATATTATGAGTATGCATACATATATGATAGATATACAGTACATGGTGGTGGTGGTGGTGGTGGTGGGTATCTTCTATATCTTCAAATTTGACAAGCAACCATGTGGGGTTTCCTTTCACAAGGAAGAGGAGGAGGAGGGTGATCCCTAGGATATGTTGCATGATTTGATTTTGCTTTGAAAAAGTGAGTCTTGATTCAACAATAATTAGTTTTTCTTTTCTTTATGCCTACCACCATTTTAATTTTGGCCATGCATATATTATGAGTATGCATACATATATGATAGATATGCGGTACATGGTGGTGGTGGAGGTGGAGGGTATCTTCTATATCTTCAAATTTGACAAGCAACCATGTGGGGTGTCCTTTCACAAGGAAGAGGAGGAGGAGGAGGAGGGTGATCCCTAGGATATGTTGCATGATTTGATTTTGCTTTGAAAAGTGAGTCTTGATTCAACAATAATTAGTTTTTCTTTTCTTTTTGCCCACCACCATTTTAAGAGATTCTTCACATACTACTACTACTAGATTCAACAATAATTAGTTTTTCTTTTCTTTATGCCCACCACCATTTTAAGAGATTCTCGAAAAAAATTATACTCCCTCCCTCTCATTTTAAATTATAAGTCATAGTTTTCGAAGCGCACATTTAAAATGAAACAGAGGGAGTAAATTTTCTCTAATTTCAAATATATTTTGAATTTCGTGAACTTTAAATTGCTTAGAAAGTGGAGTGCCATATATTATTTTTGTTTTTACATTGCCAATTTAACACAACTTTCTGAAATATAACAAACAAGTGTTGTTATTGGGCCAATAGGCCTATCCAGGCCAAGTTAGTTATGGTATAGAACCCAGCCTGGTCCATTAAAATCAGGCCTATTTGACTAAGCGGAGCTAAAGTACAGTGTGGGACACTTTTGGGCTGGGCGGTTTGTTTGGCCCATGACGTCATTTACAAAAATAGAGAGAAAATGGGGATTTAGGAATGATTGGTATTAGAATAATTTGTAAATCTCAAGTAATTGGAGAAAATGTAATAAATAATTTTAAGTTAGAAAACAAATAAGTAAAATACGTTAATAATGTGAAAGAGAATTTTGTAATTACTTGAATAGATTAATTATTATATATGAATTATTCGGAAATAACTTTAAAACTGTTAAAATATATGTGAATATAAGCATCAATTTTGATGGGTATCCAATTTATTTACATGAAGAAGTATATGAAGTAAAAATAAATCTTTAGAGACAAGCCCACAATGATTGAAGCAAGAGTAGAAAACACGACTAAGCGAGTTTGCTGACTATAGTCTTTGTTGGACACAATATCCAAAATCGATTTTGTATTTTATCAACTGACTACACTATTTATGGAATACTACCTACTGAAAAATGATATATTTAGGCTCACTTTGATAGAGTGGAAATGGGAGGAAAAAGAAGGAAAGGTGATAGAGAGTGATTAAAAAATTGTGTTTGGATAAATTTGGTGGAAGGAAATGAAAGGAAAGGGAAGGATTTGAAGGGTTAACACAAGGCTTCAACAGTAGATTTCTTAACATTCAAAAAATGGACGGAAAGAGAGGGAAAGAGAGGCTTGGTTAGTGATTTCTGATGCCAAATTTGCCCTTGATTACACA